ACCTTTTTCATCATTACCTCGTTGTCGGTTGCCGTTTTGCGCCAACTTGACTTGGGCGCAATCTTGTGATGTATTCGTTGGGTTTCGTGGCCATGGACACAACCTGTCGCCCTAATGTCATCTTTACTGCCATCGAAAAAATGTACACTTCTCTTCTTTTTTTCTGCCTTCCCCTCCCCTCGAGAGTCGTGCATTGTGCCTGGCGGACTTGGACCAATCTGGAGGTGTCTGATCGAGGGTCGAACCGCTTTTCTGCGGTTGTGAAGGAGGCGCCAGACGGACGCCAGACCGGCAGCATCAGTACCGCCTCGGAAGGGAACAATGCTACGCTACGATGTACCATCGTCTGGCACGGGACTGGACGTAAGGGAAGGTACTTATTAATTGGCAGACGAAACGGACGACTTCCTTGACAGAGGCAGACAGACTGAACGCCATTTGGCCAATAAATTTTGCCACAACCGCCCCCCTCCCCCCAATTCAGGAAGTCTGCCAATAAAGTAATGTCATAGTCACTAGATAGAAACTTACTTTCCTACCAGACTTTACCGAAGAATGGACAGTCTAGTTCACAATCGGTGAAGCTGGTCTCCAGTTAACTTATCCATTTTACGTCTTTTTGACACGGTTTCACTTGGTCCTTCAGTCGCTTATGCCTAGCCAAAGTACACATTTCCTGGAGAGAGTGATGTGTAGCGCATAAACCATTCCCATAGTAACCATATGAACATAAACATTGCCCTCCTTGATGGTCCCTAAATGACAAACAAAAGTGTGGGCGAATAGGCTCCGACGTTGGGCAAGGTAACTAATTAATGAATATCGTGTGAGATAAGGTTCATATTCTGGAAGGTATCTGTCCAAATAGCAGCCTAAAAGAGGGGCATTCAGTTCGCCTGGCAATTTAACATTAGCAGTTGGCAATTTATCAAATCATTTCCTGAGACCAGCCAAGCAGACAGGCGCAAAAGCAGTCGCCGCGACTTTTGACTCGTGGGCTGGCCGGCCGAAGGAGTAGTGTCAGATTAATGGAGAGCAGAAAAATGCATTAATTCGCTCGCTTGAAGTACAAGTTTACCTTGTCCATAATTATTTGTAATCAAGCTGCCAAACATGCCGTATCTTAACAAGTAGATGGGCCTGTGTTTGTGTGAATACCTGTGGTTGTGCAAGCGCATGGGGGAGGAGGGAGAAGAGGCCCGACAAAGTCAAGCCTAAGTAGAATGATAAAAACGATAGTGGGATAAAATCAGAGAGTGAGAGAGAGAGAGATAGAAAGGGTGGGCAATAGCAAATGCTTCATTTATCCTATTCGGTTCTGCCTTGACAACATTTGGCATGTAGGAGGGAAGGCCTACGAACCGGTAGGGCGATCCCACCACTTCAGGGTCACGTCATAACCACAACCCGGTTGAAGCAGAAAAAGGTAAGTCTGAATATGGGAAATAGAGTAGAAGAAAATGTAATGTAAACTATGCTTTTATATGGGTTTTCGAGACTACAAGTAGACCATGCGCATGAGACGTATTCACTCAAATTAGTTTAGTGTGATGAGGTATTGGCAAATGAATTCGTAAGCTCCACGTTTCCATTCAATTTGCCAAAAGCTATCCTCGTTCGGACTAGACTGGACTACAGTTTCGAGCTAGCGGGACTCGAACCCGTATTGTGGAAGCGCGACATAGAGTCTCGTCGCGTTTACCACTACGCCAGATTACCAAAAGTATCCTAAAACGAAAAAGGTTAATTTTAGAATCGCTATTACCATGTCCATACCTGTTTTGTTATAATTTTCTCAGCAATCGCTTCTTGTTTCACTCTAATATTCACTTTAGCATATATTTTTTTAAAGATATAACATATTCTCTAGCATGCACCTATTAATAGTCTCGAAAGCCTACTTGTAAGACAATAAGTAATGCAGTCGATTGCTAAATCATATACAGCTGTGTTCCATCGACAATCCCATC